CCCTCCTTTCTTCTTCCCTCTTCAGACAGCAAAACCCTCCTTTCTTCTTCCCTCTTCAGACAGCAAAACCCTCCTTTCTTCTTCTCTCTTCCAACAGCCGAGAGAATACCAGAGTCCCGAACCTGAGTTAGTTAACAATGTTGGGGAAGCAAGAGTCTGAAAGCAGTGGGGAAGGTCGGCCGCCACGCATGGGCGGAATAACGATTAACCAGAGGAATTTCCGGACCTTCTGTCTTGTATGCAAATATACAAAACTTGGTCGTATAATATTTTTTTCTTAAAACAATATATATGATTGTGTCATTGTTTAAGGAAAAACGACAGAGAGAGAGAGACAGAGATGATGATAACAGAGCGTTGTGGATCTTTGGATCTTAGAAGATGATTCGTAGATGTAGCAGGGTCCAATGTCATCCTGTGGTTAAGTTGGAAACACCAGCTGGCAGATCCTAGCTGTGGACAGGCTATTTTTGTAAGACATCTTGGTAATAATTTCATTTCAGCATGAAGCAGATGCTATACATTAAACGTGAGGTTATGCCACAGTCTGTTTGACACCTACATTTTCCCTGTTTTGTTTTTTTTTTTCCTCTCTCTGTCCAAAATTCATCGTTTTATTCAGAGACAAAATACCTGGCTACAGCTCTGGGCTTTGCTTCATGCCATGTGATTGGGGAGACATTTCTGTAATTTTGTTTCTTCATGTATAAAATGGGGAAAACTAGTGTCCACTTCCTGGAGTGGCTGTGAGAATTATATGCAATGGCTCATGTAACATTGCCTTGTGCAGAATGAGCGTTTAATAAATATTATTATTATTATCAATACCGTCGTCATGGTGAGCGTTATCAATCGCAGTTAATTATGGTTCCTTAAGGATAGGATAGGAAGAATGAGGAAGAGTCCGTATTCAGAGAAAAATAAAGAAAAATGGCTAAGGCAATTATTTAATTGCAGGTGCACATAGAAAACTGTTCTGGGCAGGATGCACAAAAATAAATCCATAACTGAAGACTACCAAAGACAGAGACAAGATATGCAGATCGGCCAGAGGGAAAGGTTAGGTTGCCTGCATATTAATAATTATTAAATTAAAAGCAAACACCTGCTAACAGCCTCAGTGGAAGCCACAAGACGATAGAATCAGCTCTTCAAACTGGAAACCAGAGACACATGACCACGTTATTCAATAATGATGGTGGGATATATAAAAGCACAGAAAAATAATATTGAGACTTTACAACCATGAGTTATTAGAATAACTATTAACCGAAGACATTTCTGAGAAGAGAAGAGAAATGATTCCGGAAGGGAAGATGAAGTCTCAGATGAAACGGTGAACAAAGGAATTGTTAAATTAGGGATAAATGCAAACAAACATTGACTTTAGGAAGCTGTCTTTTTTTTTTTTTTTAAAGAAAAACACCTAATTTGGGGAGAAGTTAAACTAATATGCTAAGAAATAGTAACACTTAAGTCAGGAGGAAGAATACAGAAATTAAACTCTTATAGGGTCTTTGTACTGTGCAGAGAGAGATACGAGATGTGCAATCATCTTAGCATTTGTTAAAAATGCATATGAAATTATAAGGCTAGAAGAAGTGGAGTGTATGTATTTAAAGGGAATGGAAAATATGATAAAAGACAGGAAAATTGAGATGCGCAAAAATGCATACAGAACAAGACAACATGAGGTGTTGTAAGTAGTCAAGCTCTCAGAGACAGAAAGTAGAATGCTGGTTGCCAGGGGCCGGAGGAGAGGATGATGAGGAGTTAGTGTTGTATGGTGTTGGAGTTTCAATCTTGCAAGGTAAAAAGAGTTCTGGCCAGTACTGGGCATCTACCCGAAAGATCAAATGACACTCTACAAAAAAGACACCTGCACTCGAATGTTTATAGCAGCACAATTGACAATTGCAAGAGCGTGGAAACAACCCAGGTGCCCATCAATACGTGAGTGGATTAATAAAATGTGGTCTATGTACACCATGGAGCACTATTCAGCTCTAAGAAACAACGGTGATCTAGCACCTCTTGTGTTATCCTGGATGGAGCTGGAGCCCACCATTCACTAAGGGAAGCGTCACAAATGGACAAACAAGCACCACATGGACTCACCGGCAATTGGTATATACGGGTCAACACCTAAGTGGACACATAGGAGTAAACATTTATCAAGGTGTCGGGAAGCTGGAGGAGGAGAGGGGATGGGTGCTATACAGACATGGTGAGTGAGATGTTCAACGTTGGGGATGGTCATGCTTGAAGCTCTGACTCAAGGGGGAGTGGGGCAAGGGCATATAGTAACCTTAACACTTGTACCCCCAAAATATGCTGAAATAAAATAAAATAAAAACAAAATGAAAAAAATTAAAAAAAAAGAGTTCCGGAGAAGGATGGTTGCACAACAACGTGACTGCACTTAACGATGAACTCTATGCTGAGCACTGAATCCAAATGCAAGCAGGTGCAGCCACTGTCCTATCAGATAAAATTGACTTTACACCAACAATAGTAAAGAAAGACAAAGATGGCCATTGTACAATGGTGAAGGGAGCAATTTAACAAGAGGATATGATAATCCTAAATATTTATGCACCTGACACAGGAGCTCCAAGATGCACAAAACAAACCCTGCCAGATCCAAGCAGAGAAATAAACAGCGACATTATAATTTCTGAAGACTTGACACTCCGCCGACGGGACTGACAGGTCCTCCAAGCAGAAAATAAATCAATGCTGGGCTTAAATGGGACTTTACAGCAAATGGGACTGACAGACATTTATAGAACATCCTACCCCAAAACTACTGAATTTCCATTCTTCTCATCAGCCCATGGAACATTCTCCAGGACTGATTGTATTTTAGGCCACAAAAACTGGCTCAATAAATTAAAAACATTTGATTAGCTCCCATAACCAAAAAGAATTAAATAAATAAATAAAAATAAATCAACAAATTTAAAAAAAAAGAAATCATACCACACACCTTCTCAGACCACAGTGGAGTAAAACTCGAAATCAGCCCAAGAGAAAATACTCAATTCTACACAACGTCATGGAAATGAAACAACCTGCCACACATAATGATTGTTGGATTGACAAGGAAATTAAGATGGAAATCAGAAGATTCCTCGAACCGGATGACAAAGGGACGCAAGCTATTAAAATCTATGGCATTGAGCAAAAGCAGTCCCAAGGGGAAATTTCAAAGCACCCGTCCTGTAGGATTTCGAGCCCACCCTGATTTCCTACTACCTCATCTTCTCTTGATTTCCATGTGCAAAGACCCTATTTCCAAATCAAGCCCCATTCACAGGTGCCAGGGTTTAGGACTTTAATATGTCTCTCTCTTTTTTTTTGAGGGAGTCATAATTTAACTCACGATACCCCTATATAACAAAAAAAAGTATCTGGGATTTGGGAACACTTTGTATTAATAATTTGCTCAGGAGAAAACAGCTTGTAAGCTACTGAACTGGGAGTGGACCCCAAACCATGCCAACCTCAAATCTCCACGCCAATCTAACCCCACGGTGCCTCTCAAAGGTGTGACCCCACAGGTAACATTACTGTGTGGACTTGTGTGATTTTTAATGCACCTGTTTTCTCTCATTGTCTTGATGAAGCAATCATATGGAAGTGTAAAGTCAAATGCAAATGATGGTCTTAATATTAGCTATTGAACAAGGATTTATTTTTTTTTGAGACAGAGTCTCACTCTGTCACCTGGGCTAGAATGCCGTGGCATCAGCCTAGCTCACAGCAACCTACACTCCTGGGCTCAAGCAATCCTCCTGCCTCAGCCTCCCGAGTAGCTGGGACTACAGGCATGCGCCACCATGCCCGGCTAATTTTTTCTATATATTTTTAGTTGGCCAATTAATTTGTTTCTATTTTTTGGTAGAGACGGGGTCTTGCTCTTGCTCAGGCTGGTTTCAAACTCCTGACCTCGAGTGGCCCTCCCGCCTCGGCCTCCCAGAGTGCTGGGATTAAAGGCGTGAGCCACCGCGCCCGGCCAAGGATGTTTTTCAATCCTAAGTGATCGCAGGCAACTATATTAGACCTGATTAGTCTGAACAAGGATTCCTTACAAAGCCTGAGCAATTTCTCTGCCCCTGCTTGTGCCAAGGTTTCCAAAACATCCTTACTTTAACATAAAGCTTATGAAGGGGGTCATTTTGAATTTAGGGCGCCATAGAACACGATCTTAGAATTTTAGCCTGAGAAAGATCTT